ATATATATATATATTTCTATCTTAATTTATAATTCGAGCGAGGTGTTGAGTTACATAAAGCCTTACCCCGAGACTCCAGAACCTCTTCACCGAGGACTAGATCTGCAGCTCGAAGCCTTTGATTAAAGCATAGTTCCTAGTTACCCGCGCTAGACCCTAAGTTCGCGAATAAAACCCTAGACCCTAAGTTCCAGGCTAAACCCTAAAAGCCCAAACCCTAAAGCCCTAAAGCCACAAACCCTAAGTCCCCCTGCCTGCTGGGAGTGTGCTTCGAGCCGCAGAACCACTGCTTGCCGGACTCGGTGGGGATAAAGACCACAGGATGAAACCTGACCGTGTTTAGGGTTTAGGGGTTTGTGGGTTTAGGGGGTTTAGGGTAGGGGTCCCTTTGAGGAGATCGAAAAGGGGTCCCTTTAAAGGAGTCTGGAGGGTCTCTATGATTAGGTTTCAAGGGTTTAGGAGTTTGGGCGTTTTGGGTTTGTCAGGTTTTCTAGGATGTTTGTCAAGGCTTTGAAGACCTACAGAGCTTGGCCTTGAAAGGGTCTCATTCCGGGCTTACGAGCATTGGAAGACAGGTTTTTCAGGGCTGCCGGTTTTAGGTTCAGGGGCTCTAGGGCTTTGTACAGGTTTAGGACCGGCTTTCGCGGTGAGGCTTAAGGGAGACAGCGAAGGGCAGACATGTCTCGTTGTGTGTTTCTGGATGTTCTTGGAGCCATCGTCTCCAAAGCCTCGACTTCTTGCAGGACTAAAGGGAGCACTTTCTGTGGGCTCCGGGCGTAGGGTTCGTTGTCACCTCGCAGTTTCGCCTCTGCTTTCTTTCTCGCATTTCACAAGCTCTCTGTGGTTTGCTGAGCAAGCTGCCCTGAATTGAGAGATTGTAGCCTGCCGCCACCTCGCGACACAGGCCCGAGTGGAAAATGCGAGCCGATTGAAGGGTTAACAACAACCGTGGTACCGCAAAAAATATTATGTTGACGGCGACTTTCACAACCGTACAGAACCTGCGCCTACGCAGCAGAGCCTCTCCGAATATGCCTCAGAAAAGAGCATCGGATCTGCGTCAAAAGTTGTGAGATTTAATTACAATTCTTTATAGGCATGAAGCAGGATCGCTTACAACTAGTATCTAACAGTACTTCCTTCGGCCAGTGTCAAGTGAATGAAGTGAACGGGGATGTTTGACACGAGAGGTAAGCGATTCTCAAAGCTCAGCTAAACTGCCGAGATGGCGACCGGCTCAATTCCCCATCAGCTCTTTGATTTTGCCGTTCTTTAGGAGCGGCAAGGCCCCTCCCATTCCGCCATCGTTGCAGCCTCCAATGAAGTTCTGCTTCACGAAGACCTTGGGGACGCTTGTGGAGCCACCACACTTGGCGCTCAGGGCACCACGGTCAAAAGACTCCACGACCTTTGGGGTGTAGCCCGCCTCGCGAAGAGCAGCCAGGGCTTTCGAACAGAAGGGGCAAGTGCTGCTCGAGAAAACCACCATGTCGTGTGAGTTAATCAGCTCGTCAATGGCTGCCGTGTTCGGAGAGCCCTGGCTGCTACCCGAGTTCCCCATTGCAGCGCAGTTCCTTTTGAGAGCTTTGAGAGCCGAAAGGAGCTCCAGCAACAAAGCGAGGGCATCCCAGTGAGGGTTCGATCCTGTGACCTTGTCCCCGTAACATGTCCTTTCCTCCTTCAACACCAGCCCTTGGAGACGCAGAAACATTTTCTCACAACATTGCCTGCAACCTCCTCCCGGAAGCAACGAATCCGCACGAAGAAGTTGCCCCACTCTCTCCCCCACACGTTACAACAGAATGAGCCCAAAAATACGGGGGGAAGGGAAGGGGGGGAAGCTATCTTTGCGCCGCCTCGAAGCCCGCCGGAGATGTTAAACCCTAAACCCTATAACAGCCTATAGTCGCCTATAACCGAGATCCTAATAATTTAATATAATTTACAACTTCTTTTACGTAATATATAATGTCTGCTTCATAATATGTATGTATGTATATATATATGTCCGTCTATTTATAGCTAGCTAGCTAGATAGATAGCTTGTTATCATAATATGTAACATATACTTGAATTTGAATATTGGTATATAACATATATATATATATACACACACTAGAGTATAGCAAACTACACAATACATACTTTATCCCTAAACCGTAACCTGTCAAGGGGCTTCGTGTCCTTGCATCCGACTTGGTCACACCATGGCTGTGACTCGTGAGCCGACTCGCCGCAGGAGCACCAGTAATAGACATGGTCCTTCTCTACCTGGGATTTGTTTAAGGGATCTATAAGGGGGTATAAACAGTAATAGACATGATCTATAGGGGGTTAATAAACAATTCTACAGGGATTCTTAAGGATCTATAGGGGTGTATAAACAAATTCTACAGGGATTTAGGGATTTTACGGGAACTATAGGGGTTTATAAACAAATTCTACAGTGGATTTATCAGAAATTTGTAGGGGTTTACATATAGGAAGGGTGTGCATTCGCCAAGTCCCAGGCCTCTGCTCCTAGCGGAATTACCAACTGCGACGAGCGCGTCCAATCGACCCATGCATACAAAGTGGATTTAGGGTTTAGGGTTTAGGGATGCTTGTCTCCGAACTTCCCAAACTTACAGAGACATCTAGTAATCTAGTATTTAGGAACACTGGCCAGGAATCTACTCCGCACAAACCACGGAGAAACATATCAATTCGTGATTTGTATTGCTGTCCTACTACATATGAACATTAACAATAACATTGACACATCAAGGCGCATGCGTGATGTACGGGCCCAACTTCGGCGAGTAGGGCACGGGCTCGTATGGGAACCACCTCAAGGGCATCTCTGTTCATATACGAACCAACATAGACAATGAGCTCGGATACTTCGGATCAGGGATAAGATGCACAAAAGCATGACATGGACAAACGACCAAATGCAGATGCTTACGAACATGTATGTATGTACATGACTGCATATAGCTGAGTACAGGTACATGCATGCAAAAGTCCATGTTCTCTGGATGCATACAGGTTTGCATTCGCAGATAGAAACAAAACATGATTGCTACTTCTTCATTGCTGCTTGCTCCAACCCCATGTTACTATATGTCTTTGGACACCCTGGACTTGCTGACATCCTTGAGATGTTGGGGTATGCTTTCGGAAGCGAGATGATCCACAAGTTTGATCCTGTCCTGTCCGGAACTTGCGGATTTTCAACAGTGCACAAGAAGAACCCTGAAAGATTGGTCCAATGAATGGTTGAATGTCGGCAGCAGGGCGGATAGAAACTCGTAGCACAGCAGTTAGACAGAAGTAGAGCTTTGGGAGGCTTACCTTGGGCTGAACGCTGACTGACCAGGCGCTCCGATGGGCAGCTTTTGAGAGTTTGCCCTAGCTACAGGGGATACCGGAACAGGACACCCAGAAGCTAAACACTGCCCTGAACCCAGTACCCCGAACTCCTCAAGCAACGAGTCGAGGATTTACGCAGGCTTTCTCGCCCGGAATCTAATGACTCCAATATGCCGGACGCTGAACTGCAGCTGGGCCCCCAAAACTCCATCTACGGCTGAAGCGTTTTTGTGAAACTATCCCCTCCTGCATATTTAATGACAGAGTAAACTGAAGCCGTGGGGCTTGTTCCAAGGTGAAACAATCTTCGGTGCCCCATTCTTCTTGGAGACCTCATAGCCTGCAGCTTCCCACTCATCGGGCCTTGCAGCTAGGTTTCGGGTTCAACATGCAGCTTGGTTCGCTGTGGAGGTGCTGCGTAAAGGGTTTCGAATCGGTCTAGAGCCTCGAAACTCGAAGAGCCGCCAACTTCAAAGTTGAATCGAGGCCAGAAAAAAACTGAAAGTGCGCCGAAGATCTCAGCCGGGTTTCAGGGCTTGGAGGCTGACCATGTTTGGCTTGGACATATGGGCACATGACAGCTATCTCAACAGCCGAAGTTCCTTCGTCAGCGATATCAGTACTGGCAACAGCCGCATCGTGAGTCCCAAACATAACGTTAACCTAGCGCAGACTACAGCAGCAACTAAGACAAACAAGGCTCATTCTCAAAGCAATAGCAGCAGCAGCAGCTGGAGGAGTTAGAGCAGTAGCAGCGGTAGTGGCAGTAGCAGTAGCAGAAGAAGGAGATTGCTAGCAGCAGCCGGGCTGGCAGCAGTCGTTGCTACTGGAACAGACGCTGCAAGCAGCAAGACTTGAGCCCCGCTGCGTTGAGGGGATGAAAGCGCTGGTACGGGCCGCAGCTGCTGATGGAAGCCTGCGAGGCCCAACGCATGTTTAGGCCCTACATTGGTGTAGCCTTGCCGGCTCAGCCTCCGCAAAGCAGCTGGTAGAAATGGCTCTGCACGGTATGCGAGGCTCAAAGGCAAAGCAGCTCAACACGGAGACCTCCGATGCCCCCCTGCAGGTCGGGGCCTGGAGATGGCCAGCATCCGGCCTTTGGTCACTGCCCTGGCATCCAGAGAGCAGTACTGGCTCCTAGAAGACCCCGTTGTGTACTCTACAGTTGCCTTGAGCAGCTAGAGAATATACCTTACACTGGGAATCACCATACCTTCGAAACAAAGCCCCACGACCAGAAGGAGGCTCCGCCTCATGAGGGACATGGCTTCAAGGCCTGAGCAATGGAAGGACTCCAACTTGTCTAGAAAGCAGGGATGGTGTGGAACCACCCTGAGCCAAGACAGCCACAGCAAGGAGACCATGAAAGACAAAGTGCACAGCACACCTACCACTCTCCAAGAGCCGCCTGCGCAAAGGCTCGAGGAACATCAGTGCTGGCGTTTTCAAAAGCATGCCGATTTGGGGCTCAGTTTGCGGTAGCCTTTCCTCACCGCTGTGGGGTACTGCTTTGGTACCACTCATGCTCTCCTGTGCCAGACGGCACACGGTGCAGTCAGCAGAAGGACTTTGCGCCGGATGATGGCGTCCGTCTTGCTTTTTTTGTAACTTGTAGAGCAGCCACCTCCAGCGCAATCTGCTGTCTTTTTCAGCCGGGCTTCCCCTGTGCCAAGGGCCCACATGGAAGAGCTCCGATCCGAAACGCGAGCCTACGACATGCTCATCACGCCGTTTTTGTTTTCAATGGGACGTAGGCGGTAACTTCTGTAGCATCATGTTGACATAGCGAGACATGATTCCGAAACATATGCACGCTGACAGCTATAATGACTTGCTTCCTCGACTAGGGTCCTGGTGGCCATGCGACAGTGCACTGCGCCAGCAGATTTCCTCAATCTGCCCGGTTGAGCACATCGGTCGAACTCTGCAGACACCGGGCGTCAGAGATCATCAAAGTCGTCGAAGGCCTCCACTTCGTGCTCACGCCTGTCGTACCCGCAGAAAAAGCTTTTCTGCTTGTGGGCTTCTCCATGTTACTTCTAGTTGCTATACTTGATACAGTCTGGACTCTTAATCAATTGCAGGAACTGACCAAAATCAGAGACTGCAGCTAGTGTTAGGGAGTCGGAGCTATACACACTATATTCAAGTGCAGTCTAGTTTCATCGTTTGCGAAAGCTCACACAGCACATAGTCACCTAGTCTAACACAGTGTGCTACAACAATACGTGCCACTACCAAGTGCCTCGCATGCATGACATACCTGACATATACCTACGTGACTACACACATGCATTCATGTATGCATCACCCAGGGGCTGCATTCCCCCCCCCCCCACCCCCACCCGAACATACTCGAACCGCATGGAATGGTGCCGTTTCTGGTTGCTTTTTGGTGGAGTGGTTCGATTCTCCCTGCCTGGGGTTTGGGTCGTTGGGTCGTGCTCCTGCGCGAAACTTATCCCACACACCTGCCCCTACAAAAGAGAACGACAGTCATACCGACTATGTGGGCAGGCTTGCATGCTTGTATTAGTGTGCTCTTGAAGGCGCCTCTATTTCCGGTGTGTCGTTTCGTGACACCATAAGAAAAACGCGCATGCCGGCATAAAGAAGCTCTACTTCTGTGCGACGTGAATCGAAGTGATCGAAGTGTTTGAAAGGAGCCGACGGATTTGCAGCCTTTCCCAGCGGAGCAACTGGAAGCTGCCGGGAGCTGGGCGACACGAAGTTCGCGCTGGCGACCGGGCTGTCGAGCTTGTGATAAAGCCCCGAGCTCCGAGATTCCGAAGCCCCTAAGCCCTAAGCCAAGCCCGACCCTATGCAGAACCCACCAAAACCAGATGAAATGAAACTACCGGAGCCGAAGAATGCCAAGGCTGAGGCAGTCCGGCTTTCATCTCCGCGAGACCAGAGATCTCCTGCTAATTACAGCAGCAGAGGGCAGTAGAACATAGGAACAGCGCCGAACGCGACAAGAAGATACAGTAACACATGTATGCAAGATAGACTTGAAGCAGTCGTGGTACTGCCCCAAGCCTTCATCCTTGGAGCCGTAAGATCAAGGCAAAACAGCCGTGCTCGGTTCGGGGTATTGGCAATCATGAATGTCGATGCCACCTTCCGGTGGCAATGCAACCTAGGTTCACTTGACTGCTTCGTGTGTTGTGGCAGCTTGAAAATTTGGAGCGAAAACAGGTCAGCCCTCAGAACAAAGCAGAATAATCTGAACTCTCTGCTGTCGATAGCCGCTCGGTAATCTCAGACTGAGTTTTCTAAGAGCAACCTTGGAGTCGCGGGAAACTTTTGTTGTGACTATGAGTGAAGCTGTGAAGCTATCCTGCATATTCTCCTTATCACAAGTGGTACCAGCGTCATTGCGATTCGTATGATTCTCGGTGTTATGATGACAGACACAGGAAACGTCCTCCAGGATCGAGGAATCCGCAATGACCTTCTCCAGGAAGGACATCCCCTCGTCGGCGTAGCGCTGCAACACCTGATCCATGCTGCAGCTGCTGTTAGGTACTAGGCCACTAGGCCCAGCCCGAAACCCTACGGTAAAAGCTTCTCGGGTGCAGGGCGGCAGGAGGTAGGAGTTCGGGCTATAGGCTTTTGGGTCCTGGCTGAGCCACCCAACACAAGGAAGCCACATTTCGAAAAACAACTTGCGCATGTTGTGGGTCGTGTGATTGCGGGCCCCTGGACCGAAGGGTTATCCTACAGAGGGGGTCCAATTTAGGGCTGCCTGGATGCACATGATGCATATGAACATGAGTATCCGAACACGTTTGTGCAGTAAACAAAGGCACGAAGCAAACAGCAACTAGCAAGCAAATGAGAAACTATGGGGTTGAGAAGTCTGCTCTGCTCCTCCCGCTCTCTAGGATACTTCGGGACTCCACGGCTCCCTCCCTGGGCTTCTCAATAGCAAGAGGGTTTCGGGCTTCGGCCGACTCCAATACCCAAAATAGAACCAAAAAAACGTTTTGCACCAGTTCAGATGGAAGCCGCCGGGGCTACAAAGGTGTAGGGTTTGAGAGAGTGGCGTCTCGGTAAGGGTTTGAACAATCTACAAGAGTCGGGCTGCAGGGTGCAGTAAGGCTCAGGCTAGCAGGTTCACACGATAACTCCTCCATGTACGGAACTTGCTGGAGTCTTGAGTCTTGAGCCCCTGACGGAACTTTCGAAAGCGGAGAACACTACCCACCGATTCTGCGAACAAGACGAAGCTGCCCTCCTGTTGTGAGGAACAAAAGGGGAACCGGCAACTTGCTTGAGCAACCCTTTTTTAACCTGCAACCTATGTCTGGGACGTGCCTGAGGGGAGCAGCAGATGCAGCGGGAGAAGGGCTCTGTCTCCACAGGGGACAAGGTATACCTTGGATGAAACTTAAATATCGAACTATAGCATGCATGCAGACTATACGGGCATGCACATGATATGCAACACAAATGCTACTGCCGCTGCCTGCTACTGCCACTACGACGGCGGCTACTACTGCCGTCGTCGTCATGGTTAGAGCGTTGGTAAGCCCGACAAGAATCATGGCTTTCCTGCAGAGGTCGGGGCCGATGTTCACGGATTCTTCGAGTTTGAGATGTCTTATACCCTGCCCCGTGCCCCCAAAATCCACGATGGGTCTCAGGGTTCAGGCAAAACCACTGTGGAGTCCTGGCCGAGGTGCTCAGCTGCATAGCCGCGAACCTGCACCAAGGCGGCTTCAGGGTCCGCTGTGGTTTCAAGTCAGTTTGGGATGCATGGCGGCTTTCCTCGACTGCTTACGGTTCAGAGTGTGCCAAAGCCGACTTCGTGGGTCGAAGGAACGATGTTCACTCATGATGTCTACAGAAACGTAGCATATCTTAATACGCCCTCATGTGTTGGTGGGGTGCTTTATAGATCCTTGTAGTATGACTATATAGAGACTATAAGAGCACACTTATTTCAGGCGCTCCGACCCCCAGATTCCTCAGTCGCAAGTCCTCCGAGCTTAGCCCTGCAGTGCCATGAGCTTTCTCCACTACCTTAAACTACCAAACCCTACTTTTTTGTAGGTTCTTGTTATCAACCCTCATATGGAATTTACAGGGACCCTACAAAAAAGTAGGTTCTGGTAGGTTAAGGTAGGGTTCAGAGTCCAGAGCCAACGGTTGTTTGCTGCGATGGCTGGAGTTGTCGGGATCGCGGGTTTTGGCATTTTGCGTTGAGGGGTTTAGGGGGTGAGGGGTTTAGNNTTCTACTTCTTGAACCCCCCCCCCCCCTAGTGTCGAGACGGATTGGGGCACTTCGCCATGAGCATCTGATTCCGAAGCTTCAAGCTTCAAGAAGCGCCCGACCAACATCTCAAGACAATCCAGAAATCTTTACAAGGAAAAGATACCGAAAGCCGCCCGAACGTCTTGAAGGACCTTTAATCCTCCCATGCAAAAACTCCCACCTGGTGTGGAACCCCTCCCAGAGGGGAGCTGTAGAGGTTCTCCAATCCCGTCCAAGAGGGGGCCGCAAAGCCCGCCTGCACCAAGCTTCAGTTGGCAGCTTTGCTTCTGTTCATATCGCTGCTACAAGTATCGTGCTGTTTCCATAACCCACAAGCAACAAAGCTTCAAGCACCAGGGACCACGAAGCATTAAACAGACCCTGAAGCGCTACTGTAAGGCCTCTTGGATCGGTGGCCCTGGATTCCCAAGACCTAACTTCGAGTTCAGGGGTTCCTTGGGCTTGGGGTGATTCAAGTGGCTAAAGGCTTGAGCTGGACGGAAAGGCGAAGATGCCTCGTGCTGTGTGAGGGCTGCCAGAAGCTCGACGGCAACGCTGCTCGCCAGACCCGAGATGCCCGGGCGGGTCACTGTGCACTGCTGGTCCAAAGTCCTGACTGGGACTTTTCAAACAAGGGATCCGGATATGGACTCGACCCTATTACACATTACACCCGAAGTAGGACCTGTCGAAGCATCAAAAAAGGGGGATGCGAAGAAGAGGGTCACCAAACATTATGAGCCGCCCAACCATTCTTTTGAACATCGGGGTACGCAGAGCTGCAGGTTCTCGGCCCTGAACACCTATAGGGCCTTCTTTTTTCGCTCTGGCTTCATTTTTTTGTTTGGCGGTTCTTTTCCTCCTCGTTACAACTAGAAACTGGAACGCCGCCACGTCGGCTGAACCCTGGTTGCGGGACTGCTTGCAACGCACTAAACATCACTGCAGCACTCGCACGACAAGCCAGACCACGCCACGCCAGCCGCCAGATCTGAAAGCGAGAAC